GCCAGATCTTTCTTGCTCAAGGTCGATCTTTAGTGGACTCCATCCCATTGATAGGATTGTCCATCTGCATCTATTTTGGTGTTGTTAGTTGTTACCCTCAAGTCGAACTATCTGCTGGCAATTTATTTTTTTCAGAAAAAAAAATGTAGGGGGTTCCGTATTCCGCCCCTTGTTTCGGTTGCTCGCCTACGAGTCATTTTATCAAATGCATTGTTGCCAGAGCTAGTCCGCTCTATTTGTTGCTGAAATCCCATGTTCCTGCGGTCCTGCCCCAGAAGGAATAAGAGGACAATGTTCGTGTTTGTTTTGACATTTTGAACTGTGCTTTAGGATAATGTTTTCCCTTGAGAGCTCATGTTGCTTTGAATGGTTGGGTGCATCATTTGTAGGAAGGGCCTTTCTTGTATCAAGTGGTCTTTAAATCATCTCCTAACGAGCTAAAATTGCTGGATCGGAATATCAATTACTAACACAATATGAATGTTTTTCTTTTTCTTTCATCATTGGGGGATATTGTTGGATCCGATGTAAATGTTACTTGTCCTTGCATCTAATGCATTTCCTATAGTCGTCACAAGAAAGATAGGAGTGCCGGCTGACCCAACTATTCAATGTCTCCCTCCATCTTATATGTGAGTATTTTGGTTGTAATAACATCTTATATTATGGGACAGAGGGAGTACATGGATTAAATAATGCTGACTCAAAAAAAATTTTGTTTAAATCAACTGCGCTACTGGCTACTTGATTGATTTATTTATTTGTCTTTGACTGCTGTTAACTGAGCAATACTGTTCGTGCTTTGTAGCTTGTTCCAAGGTTAAATGGCAAACAGAGCAAGGTGGGTGATGAAGTTTGAAAAGGGGCTTATTGATATACTACATGAGAACAATAATTCGCACTATAGGACTCCAAACGGATGGAGAAGTGAGGGTTGGAAGAAAATTGTTAAAGATTTTAATGATAGGCACCCAGATGCAGGGTTTACCAAAGTTCAAATTCAGGAACATGAGACTCAGCTGAAGAAAGACTATAAATTGATAAAATCCATCCTCCAGCGTGATGGTGTTTCATGGGACCAGAATGCTTCTATGATCAGAACAACAGATGAAATATGGGATGAGATAATTGATGTGAGATTCTAACTCCTACTCTACTGATTATTCATATGACCAAGTGATATTTAACCGTTCATTTTATTTTACTAGGAGTCACCAAAAGCGCGGAAGTACCAAAGTAAGAGTTTTCCATTGCTTCAGTCGCTGGAGATGTTGCTTGAAAGTAATTTTCTTCCCTTTCTAATTTGTTCAAAAGCATTGTTGAGAGGGCAACACAACTTAGCCAATCTGCTACCATGATAGGGGATATTCCTGAAGGGGTTGGCAATATTGACGAGGAAGACAACAACACCAGCACACTGCGAAGCATGTCTAGAAGACTTTCTGCACTGGTTCCTGGAAGCATTGATGAGGGTGAGAACAATATCAGCGCACTGCAAAGAACTCTGGAGCTAGGATCACAAGGCCTGGAGGATGTCGACCTTCTGCAAAATCACGATGAAGAGGCATTGGAAAGACCACAGCCTGGGGCAGACCCAAAGCCGCAACCAGGAGCGGATGAACCCGCACAGTCAAGTTCCTGCATAGAACCGCAAAAGGACAAGCGCAAGAAGCGCAAGGCGTCTGACATCCAGCAAACCATGGAGGCTTATCTAGACTTCAGAATGAAACAGGCTCGCACAAAAGAGCAAACCAAAAAGGACGGCGAGCAGTTCTCGATTTCAAGGTGTATCAAGGCTCTGCATTCTATGACCGATGTGTCTGATCAGGTCAGGGTTCTAGCTGCTGATGTCTTCAAGGATGCGGTGAACCGGGAGATCTTCCTCTCGTATGAGCCGAGGCTTCGCCCTCTGTGGCTGAAGAGGGAGGTCAATAGGTTACTCTGTTAATCAGCTGTTGTAGCGCATCGCGGTGTCTTGTCTCCGGTTAAATGTGAACTTCCACACCCTTGGAGTCCTTGGTACGGAGTAGGTTGTAGCATACTTTCGGGTCATAGAAGTATTTCGTGACTCGCCATGTGTACTCATGCAATCCATGCTTCATGCCAATTACTCCCTCCGTTCCTAAATATAAGTCTTTGTAGAGATTGCACTAGGTGGACTACATACGGAATAAAATGAATGAATCTAAACTTAAAATGCATCTATATACATCTGTATGGGGTTTATAGTGCAATCTCTACAAAGACTTACATTTAGGAACGGAGGGAGTATTTGGTTCTGTGATTAGTAGCGGTATTTAGTTTATCACTTTTGTTGTTTGGTCTGTTTTTGCTTTGCTATTAGCTAATTCACACAAGTGTTTTTTCGGAGTTGCGTTCTACCAAATGCCCATAACGCCATGGATTTTCTTTTTGATATGTATATTGACATCATGAAATTGACAGCTCACCTTCCACAGATTTTCGGTGCAGAGATAAAATCACATTAGAATGCTTTCAAGATACTTTTTGAATCCAGGGATGTTTGGAATGGGTGTAAGATTTGCGTGGCCATCGGTATTTAGCTCAAACTTGAATCGAATACCGGTGGACACACAAAATTTACACCTGTTCCAAATGGGGCCTTAGTACAACCATTTCGTTAAACTTCAAACAGTTGTTTAAATGTACAACCGGAGGCCAGCCATTTCGTTCTTCAGTAACTCTCACACGGGGAGGAAGTTCTTCAAAACTGGATTTGTTATTGTAAGCGGGTTTTGAAGTATTTATATTAAGGAACAAAGCGAGATAAGAAAAAATTGCTTTCAACATATTTTTTGTCCAAGTATCACACACTATTCTTCCATTTTCTTCCAAAAGGGCCTTTTTTATTCTATTTCACTATTTCATTCCATCTAAATCTAAGAAAGAACCCAATGTGCAGTTCAACATTCATCTACCTTGGGTGTGATGATAACAACAATGCGCAAAATATAATTCAGGTCGCTGCGTCAATAGAAAAGAGGGCGGCGGTACCCTGGCAACTGGCATCTAATAGCCACTGCCGTGTAGGACAACAAATGGATGATTCGGAGGCACACTGCACCCGGCTTCAAAATGCTCATACAACAGCGCAACCGTGTAGATATCAATCCCAAAACGAAATAGTATTTCAGTGCAATGGCAGAGAGTTCAGCAGTGCACATACAAACATAATTTAAAAAAATGCTGCAACCAGTATTCCATATTTTTCATGTGCCTCTCGTTAACCAGGCAAGAAAACCCACATTCTTTTCACAGCCCAAGACACCATATGAGGTCGTCACAATGTCACCTTGCAAAGTGCCGCATGGACACCTGCTAGCTGCTATTGGCACACACATTGCATGAACATCCAATGCAATCTACCATACATTTGCATGAAGGGGGGCTACAAGTATAAAGTAACTAGATCATGCCAGAACCCACAATCATTATAGCATTCTAACAAACAAAAGCATGTTTATTTCTCTAACCAGGAATGTAGATTGGTGGACCAAGAAGTGGGTTTAACTTCAACCAGTCCATGGCGCTCAAGTCATTACAAGATGCAAAACAGTTCAACTATTTAACAGGTCAATGGTGATTGCATCTATCCTGACAGTTCCAATACTGATATTCATAGCTCAGGCTGCACGTAATTTCACCTGTGATGGACAACCCAGGGTTAGTACTACCCATGTACTCCCTCTGTAAACTAAAATAAGAGCGTTTAGATCACTATTTTAGTGATCTAAACACTCTTATATTAGTTTATGGAGGGAGTACTGCATATTTTAAATGCCAATAATAAAGCACAAGACAAGCTTTTCTGGTGCATTTTTTGTCCTAATAATGAAGTTGTTTTAGGTCTCAGGGGTTAAAGCACTCACACTATATGCCTGATGCCTGATGGGAATAAGTAGCAATATCGACATAAAAGGAATTTGAGACTGTCGAATGTTACAGCCATCAGTTATCAAATGTCAAAAGGTTACTCATTATTTCTACTCCCTCTGTTCCTAAATATTTTTAGAGATTTCAAATGGACTACCACATTCTATAGACTTGATCAAACTTCAGAAAGTTTTGAATTGAGACAAAACTAATATGCAAAGTAAGAAGAAATGAAGGGATTATAATAAGATCGATCGCAAGAAACTAACATATATATAGGATGCAAAACAGGTATGATACCAGGAAACGCTAGCTTGTAGAAAGTTAAAACAAGTACATTGTATAGACAGTCCAAGGAGTTTCTTTACTAAATCACAGTTCACATTTGCATCTTAAAGTTGCCAAGCTGAGTCAAAACACATTATGAATTTTAAACCAAAAATAAAGAAATTAGAGAGAGACAACACACCACACAGTTGTACTACAATAGCGAAATATTTTCCTTGCCAAGATCAGAATCATAGGAAAGCCCACCCACACAGACTATTTGATGACCAGAGCCTGAAATGATAATACAGTAAAGATATATAGAACAAATATTGATAATGATAAAATGTAGGAGTTTACTTGAGTTGGGTAACATTGCATTTTGTCAGTGAAGACCAAATAATCAGCATTTATGTAAAGTAGGCTATAAAGATTAGACAAGCGTTTTAATACAAGAGAATGTCCACTTGCCTTAGTAGAAGAAAGTCCCAAGACCATCACATAAGTGAAAAGAGCAAGAACTAGACTTAGGTGAACATGACAACTGATAACAGTGTACTAGTGGCAAGGAAATAACAGTCACCATAACTATTATATATGATCTCACGAACTGTAACAACAAAAGGTCCTCTCCAATCTCCAGCAACATGTGCATCACACCCAATGCATCAGTACAAAAAGGATACCAAGGTCCTGGAGACTCTATATGGGCACAGCATCTATTCAAATATTCACATTTCTTTATACCAAAAGCAGACAATACGCAACAAAACCAGCATATCCGACAGTAACATGCAAAGCAGAACTACGGCATAGAGCTATCATAGCCTTCACACAGCCTAGTGTCTTGGACCCATGCTACAAGAACGGGATAGACGCACTGGTGCTGGCGCTCCTCCTTCTCCTGCAGACCCTGCATTGTACAGCTTCCTGCACCCTGGGCAACGCGCATCCGCCTCGAGGATCCTCTTGTGGCAGAAGAGACACAGATGGAACCCGCAAGGGCAGGGGAGGAAGCTTGAGTCTGTTGGGTCAAGATCCTCGTAGCATATCGGGCAAGATAATGGCATAGAGAGGATACTCTGATGTGCTGCACTCATACCCATCCCCCAGCAGTTGCCGATCCTCGCTGGGAAGCTCGACTGCTTGGAGATACTGGGCAAGCTCTGTGGACGGAACGTATCATCTGGTGTCCAAGCTCTTGCATTGCTACGAATAGGCTCTGTTCTTTTTGATGTATTTGCCAGAGGTGCCGACTCACTTGTAGCTGCTGGGGGCATCGTGGTACCTAAACTCTGGTGGCAATGACTGTTATCATCGACTGAAAGTGCATCAGCAACAGCTTCCCAATCATCCAGCACCCCGTTTTCCTCCTCAGGGCCACTGCCCGTGTCATCATCCTCAGCATCACTCACACTCCTGGAACTGGACCATAGACTGCTCACGCTGCTGAGGCTGGGGCCACCACCATTGCTTGAGCAGCGCTTACTCTGTGCACAGCCGCCACCTCGAGAGTTGTCTGAACAAGGGCTGTGCATAGGGGAGTCAAGGTCGCTGCCGCCTACTTCTTGCCCGGTAGCGCCAGCATCCTCCTTGTCGTCCTCCAGAGCCCCACCCCTTGACCTTGCATCGGCTCGCCGCCGGGGCAGTGGAGGGTGTGGCGACGCAAGGATTGGCGACCCAGCATTCGACCCTGCCCCTGATCCTGCGCCCGCTGGCAAAGGCTTGGCCGTGGCCTCCTTCCCATCCTTGACTAGACCAATCCAAAACGCAAAAAGATCAGAATTTGAACCCAAAATATCATCTTGAATAAAAGTTATCAATTTGTAGCACCTAGATCACCCCTGTGCCGAAATAATCAGATTCCCCTAAGTATCCCAACTCCCCCACAGGCACCCAAAGACGAGAGACGCAACTAGGATACACAGTGCAGAGATCCCAACTTCCGGGATTGGCAAGGGAAAAGACCAAGAATACATAAAAGAATACATGAGCAGGCACGAGATCAGACCTTGCGACAGCCACTGCTCGCGGCGCGCGTCGAGCTTGCACTGCTTCAGCTTGGCCGACGAGCGGTTACCCTGCGGGACACGAAAAATCAACAGATCGGATCAGAACGCCGCGCAATCCGCAACCGAGCCCGGGGACGCCCCGGCCCCCAAATCGAATCGCGGATCACACCACACACACGGGCCCCTCACTTACCCTCTTCTTCTTGGCGTCGCGCGCCGCGGCCGATGCGGGCGAGGGGGCGCCGTCGTATCCCATCCTCCTCTAGGCGGAGACCCTGCGGCAGGCTTGCCTCCTCTGCGGCGTGCGTGCGTGCGCGGGACGGGGCGAGGGAAAAAACCCTAGAAAGCGGCGCGGAGGAGAGAGAGAGAGAGGGAGAGAGACGGTGGGGGGTGGGGGGAGACGAGGGAGCGCAGGGCGGCGTGATGGGTGGATGTGCAGGACGGGGATAGATAACACACGGGGCGAGGCGAGGCGAGACGAGGGCGGAGGTTATTGGGAAGAAAGCAAAGGCAAAATCTTTCCGGGGCTTTTGGCGTTTGCGTTTCTTCCCCTTCGCTTTAATTAATCCTGGCCGGACGGGGCACAGGTGGCGATGGAGGGAGGGAAACGGGGGGCAGGGCGCCCCGGCGTAATGACCAGACTGCCCTCCGCCCGGCCCTCGGGATGGGATGAGAAGGACGGTTTGGGGCTGGGGTCGGCGCACGAGCAGGTTGATTCCGTTGAGTGCAACGGGCCTCTTGTAAACGGGACTATTTTTGTCTTTTTTATTAGTTGATTGACTAATTAATTTTTGTCTTTCTTTTTCATGACCATGCAAAGCTGGGGTATTATTTCATTGATAGAAAAGTGTTAAGAGTGAATACAAGAGGTGGTAAACGACATACCTAAACTCGTCGTGCTGGGAAGCAGTCCAAACCAAACCAACATCTCCAAGTCCACTGTCGCGGATGCCGCAAGCAAAAAGACAACGCCTTCACAAAGGAGAACGATGTCGAGACGTTGTCGTTGTTCGATCCGAATAACTGGACCTAGGGCTTCCCTCGTGCTCGAAAAGGGGCATAGATAATGGCCATGTCAGCGCCTCCAAGAAGAGGACGACACCCGTGGGTGTCATCGCTGCCAGCATCGAAGGTTGAGCAAGGATTTCGCCCTGACCGAGTCAAAGCAATCTGAAGCCGTCGGAGCAAGATTCGAAGAAGAGGAAGTTGGGTCGTAGGTCGGAACTGTCACCGCGGGAAGGGGAGCTACGCCCACTGCCGAAGGAGGCATCAAGCGCCACCAGACATGCGAGCTACGGATCTAGCGGACAGGGCGCGAAGGTGGGCAATGATGGTGTCCTAGATTAGGATTCACTCACAGCATTGTCTCCCGGCCAGGTGGGCCGGTGACGGGGCCAAGACCTCGAGGTGGCTAACCGAGCCAGAGGGGATGGGCCGGAGCCCGGAGGGGGGCAACAAGGGCGGAACCAACCTTGCGACGACTTACTTCTCAATATAAGGAGGGTGGCGGCCTAGATCGCATCTCCCCATGTAAAACCCTAATCTCCTCGGTCTATATAAGGGGAGGAAGGGGAACTTCTAGGGTATCTCATCCAGAGAAGAATAACTCTTGATAGCAATCTTCATCTCCATTGTAATCCCTCGCATAAGGAACCCCATTATCATGAGCAATAAGAGAAAGCAGGATCTAGGGTATTACTCTCCGGAGGCCCGGACCTGGATAAATTGTGTGTGCGGGCTCCGTCCCGGTTCTTCCGACCTCGCCAGGAACCCTACAAGGGATCTGACGGCATTTTGCATCGTCAATTAGCACACCAGGCATGGGCGGCGATGGTTAGAGATCTAACCCCGGGCGCATATTCAAAGGGGCCCGGCAAATTCACACCGGGCTGGACCTTCATGTTTGGCTCTTTCGAGCTGGCAGTCGACAGTTCAAGGCGACTTTTCGACGTTTCTCCTCGTCCCTATGTCGACTACATGCGCTTCGGAATGATCGAGTTCATCTTTAACAAGCGGGTAGAGGCAAAAGCAATTTTCCTCGGCTCATTCCGCACCGCAAGAAGATACGCATGGATCGTCGCAGAGAGGGAGAGCTCTAGGACTTCCTTGACCCACCAACCCCCCACGAGACCTCAATGAACATGATTTTCCCAATGGCTACGACACACTGGAATCAGAAGCTCACACGACACGCGATCTACGCGATAGAGGAAGCGACTAGCGAGCACCCGCCCAGTCTGAGGAAACGGTGACGTTCAGCACCAACGACCACACCGAAAACATTGCCCACCCCAAGCAAACACACCTTGGTGGTAGATCCAATCTCCGGGGGTTGACGCCTCCCACGTGTCCTGATGGACGGGGGCAGTGGCCTTAATATCATCTTCCTCGACACTTTGAGCAAGATGGGAGTTCCCCTATCCGGTCTGGAAAGGTCGGATGTGGGATTTCATGGTTTCGTGCCAGGTCGCCTAGTACTCCCTTTGGGAAGGATCAAACTCGAGGTCATCTTCGGCGACAAGGATAACTTTAGAATAGAAACACTGCAATTTGAGGTCGCCCATTTCCACGGCGGATGCAACACGATCTTCGAAAGTCAGCGTACATAAAAGTCATGGCGTTACCATCATACGCGCACTTACAGTTGAAGATGTCAGGCCCAAATGGGATTATCATTGCCCGCGGGAGCTCGGAAAGAGACTTCGAGGCAGAGGTCGCCAACGTGGAGCTCACGGAGGCCACTCCAGCCTCCGCGGAGCTTGAAAGAATCAAACAACACGTAGACCCATCAGAAACAGAGCTCCTGGCAAAACCCAGACCAAGACCCGTGTTCCAACTAGCTCGAGACACAAACAAGTTTCAAGTCCACCAGGAGGACGCTGTCGGCGTTCTGGGAACGGGGGTCCCCAGACTTGCCTGCCTGCGGCCTGCGGCGTGGCTCAAGCAATGGTCCAGTGCGGCCCATCTTCATCAACTCAAGCTCAAGACCCTCGCGAGGGGCCAAGCCTCGCGGGGTGGACGACAGGAAGCTTCTTCAGGTACGGCCTCGTCAGGAAGGCTCGCGAGGAGGCGGAGAGATCAAGGCAGGGGTACCTCGCGAGGTGCCCGTGACACAAGCCATGACGATCGAGGCCAGGCGGGCGCCAGGCAGGCGCCGGCCTGCGCAGCGTCCTTGTTTCCCCTTTGATGCAAAGGGAGCAAGCACAGGCCAAGGCATCAGGCAAAGGCTATCGTTTCGGTGCAACAAGACCAAGACCAGCAGAGCGGCAGGATGGAGGTCACCGTGGAGCCCAAGACGGCGTCATAGTCAGAATCTTTAGCAGTCAAAGACCAACTTTAGTCAGGATAAGTGTACTAGATGTTCCCCTTCAAAATAACCAATTGTTGGCGCCCTTCCCGCTCAATATTTGGGAAGAGGACCAGGGCCTCTCACTCTATATATAGGGCTAGCCACCATAGTATAGAGGCATCTGGAATCGACCCCTCCAAAGGGACAACACCACCACAAGAACATCCCTCACGAGGCTGTTCTTCCCTTGTACTGTTCATCATTAGCCCCAGAGGCAATCCACCACACCACAAACTAGAGTAGGGTATTACACCACATCGGTGGCCCGAACTAGTATAAACCTTGCGTCCCTTATGTTGTTCATCGTGTAGCCTAGATTCCTTGCGAGGCTTTGAGACGCGAGTTGGTGAGGGAGAGATCTTCGCGCGCACCCCAGAGTTCGAACCTCAAGGGTCTGCGGAAACCCGAAATCCGACATTTGGCGCGCAAGGTAGGGGTGCGCCAAAATCGTGTCTTCTGCCGTCTTGCGTTTCGTCGTCCGTCGCATCCATGTCTGACGCTCGCCGAGCCCGCGCCAAGCGTCGGGCTGCTCTCGCGGCCCATGTCGCCCAGACGGCCCCCGTCGTTCCCCGTCGCCTGCCGCCCACGCCGCCACCGGCCCGGCGGGGAACGAGCAGGAGGCGTCATCACTGCATCCCTCGGTGCAGCGAGAAGGTCGCACCGCTACCCCATCGCTGACTCCAGCAGGCTCGTCGTCGCACGCTCGTCGCGCTCCCGCGGACGCGCACGCCGCGTTGCTCCTGGCACGTGAGCTCCTGCACTACCGCCCCGTCGACGACCTCTACGACGAGTGGCTTTCTCGCATCACCGAGCTCGTCAGCGCCGCAGGGGGCTCCCCTGCGCCATCCCTCTCGCTGCACCGCCCTCTGTCCTATGCGGGGAACGCGGCCCCGGAGGCGCCTCCGCCGCCTCCCCCTCAAGAAGGCGCCCTGGCCCCAAGGCGCGCGGCCCCTGGACGGGACCCGCCGCGTCCAGCGCCCACGCAGCAAGAAAAGAGCTGCCAAGAGATCCCTCACCCTCAAGAAGGCGCTCGCGTGCTCCCTGCGCCAACACGTCATGACCGCGCTCCTGCTCCAGCGCACCAAGACCCCGCGCTGCTCCTGGCGGCAGCGCGCGGAGACCTCCAAGATCAAGCCCTTCGTCACCAAAGGCCCCCTGTGGCCACTACAGGCTGCCGTGCCTTCACCGCCGAGCTACGCAGCGTGGCCTGGTCGGGCAAGTTCAAGCCAGATCTGCCTCCTCGCTATGACGGCACTGCTGACCCCACGGAGTTCCTCCAGCTCTACGAGTTGGGCATCGAGGCGGCCAACAGGGACGAAAAAGTCATGGCGAACTGGTTTCCCATGGCGCTCAAGGATGGCGCCCGCACTTGGCTCCTCAACCTGCCTCCCAGCATGATCTCCTCTTGGGACGAGATGCGCACTCGCTTCGTCGCCAACTTCCAGGGCACTCGTGACCGGCCCCCGGCCATGAGTGACTTGCGCCGCATCAAGCAACAGCCAGGAGAGACCCTGCAAAAGTACATCCAGCGCTTCAACAACGCCCGCCTCAAGATCCCCAGGGTGACTGAGGAAGCTATCATCTCAGCCTTCTTCGATGGCGTTCGTGACATCAAGATGAAGGAAGAGCTAGCGATCCATGAGGATCTGTGCACATCTCTGGAGCTGTTCAACTTGGCAACCAAGTGCGCCAGGGCTGAGGAAGGACGCCTCTCCCTCCTCGAGCTTCCAGCTACTGATCCGGAAGAGAAGAAGCCCAAGGTCAAGGACGTGAAGCGCAAAGGAGCAGTTGTGCTTGCAGCTGAGCCAGATACCAAGTGAGGCAGGGATCAGCCGGAGTCATCCAAGGGCAGCCGGTACTGCGTGTACCACGACCTCCACACCCACAACACCAACGATGCCAGGAGC